ATTTAAAAAGAAAATAGCTGTTACTTAAATTACTCAAATTTATCTAGTAGTTAAACATGAATGATGAAAAAATATAATGCAACTTGAACAAACAGTACACCAAAATAACGTAAGAATTCTTCGCTTGCAGTGCTTCACATTGCAGAGCGAAGGATGAAAGTTCAGTTAAAGAACGTCTATGCGCTACAATATACACTGAAGTGACAAAAGTCATGGGATAGCAATACGCAAATATACAGATGGCAGTAGTTTCGCGTAGAAAATGTACAAATGCGAAGTGCTTTGGCAGGGCTTTCATTTGTGTTCAAGTTATTCATGTGAAGAGGCTTTGACGTGATTATGGCCGCACGACGAGAATTAACAGACTTCGAACGCGGAGTGGTAGTTGGAGCTAGACGCATGGGTCATTTCATTTCAGATATCGTTAGGGAATTCAACATTCTGAGATCCACAGTGTCAAGTGTACCGAGAGTATCTAATTTCAGGCATAACATCCCACCATGGACAGCGCAGTGGCCGACTACCTGCACTTAACGACCGAGACCAGCGACGTCTGCGTAGAGTTGTCAATGTTCACAGACAAGCAACACTGCGTCAAATAACCGCAGAAATCAATGTGGGACGTACGAGGGACGTTTAAAATAAAGATATGCGTTGGAGATAAAAATGTTTTTTCGGTACAATGTTGCCATTGCTCGCTTTGAAGTCCTTGAGTTTATTAATCAAAAATTCGTTAAAGTTTTACAAAGTAGGAAATCGATAATAAAACAAATTCCAAATTTGATCTTCCGCATGCCCATATTCGTAGGAGGATTACGTCATTCAAAATTCGATGGTTCTATGTACCGTTGTTTTATCACAATGCGACAAATATACATACATTTATGCAGATTTTTCAATATTTAATTTCTTCAAATATAATGCAAAACTCTAACATTTGGTGGCAACAGTTTGAAAAATGAAACGGACATTTATAGTGAACCAACGCCAAATCGCAAAACGAAAACAATAGTCCTTCAAGGACAAAAACCCTCTTTGGACTAATAAATTCGAAATTTTACAAGTACTCGTTATACACCGGATATCGAAATGATAGCTTTACAAATAACAAAACATGCATAAAAAAATCAGATTTCTACATGTAAACTGCGAAAAAAGGGGGGGACAGTTCTATATCTCTCGCTCTACCGGGGCTATTGACAAAATTCAAATTGCGTTTTTCATGTCTCGAAAGCACGCCTTAGGATATATTATAGAGTACTATTCTAACATAGATATTTTGACACAAAATAGGAGTTTTTCTGAAATAAAATACCAATTTTTTTTACATATTACGATTCTACGACTCATTTTGCCAGATTGCCAAGTTTTGTAAAAATCGTAAGAGTAGTTTTTAAAAAATTAGCTCTCAAAATTTTAGTTCCTCAATGTTAATTAAATTTGGCATATATTTATTAATATCTCTTTTTTTTATTAAACTTTTTTGATTTTTCCTTTAACATTTCAAAATTTAGGTTCAATCCAAATAAAATTCAGCCATTTTTTGTGTTTTATTTTTAAAATTTCTCTTTTAAAATAATTTTTATAAATTTTTCGAAAAAAATTTGATTTATAACCTATAAAATTTTTACCATCATCTTAAAGTAGGTGTATTTCTAAGCATACCTGCAAAAAACTAGAGTCCTTTTATTCAAAATTCTCCAAGATATACACGAATTTACGTATTTTCGCGTATTGAAATTTGGCATCTTTTTTTTGAGCAATAATAACGCCAAATGCGGTTTATGGATTTTTGTTACAGTGAATCGCCCCAGCTATTTTTAACCTTAAATTTTCAAATTTTTACGGAGAATTAATTATATGAATTTTTTTCTCTCAGTGATGCGTAATAAATATTTATTAATACTATATGAAAAATATTTTTTAAAATTATAGATATTATTAAATTTTTTTAATATTTGTAAGAGTAAATTTTTACCTTCGCTGTGTTATCATCTGCTACTTTACTTTGACTGCATTTAAATTGAATTGTCTTAGAAAACAGGACGTTGACAGTTTTGGTCATGTCCCAGCTTTAAAAATTACATATGTAAGTATAAATCTTTATATTAATCCTCTTCGAAAGAATGTTTTAAGTAGCTAATTTTCTCTCGTATTATAGATTGTATAAAAAACATGATCTTTAATATAATTTAGATTGTTTGTAGGCGATATAATAATCGGGTTACTCGGTGGTACAGAATAAACACTGCTGGACTGTTTTATTTCTTTGCCATTTAGAAAAAACTCTTTTAATTAAAATATTTATCCTTTGGACTTTGCTTTAAACTTTATTTATAGTTAAAATGCCTAGAAAATAAAAAGCTGTCTTCAACTGAAACGCAAGCTGACGTAATTTGAAATTTAAAAATTGACAAGAATGCAAAAATTTATGGAAGTGTAACAATCTAAAAATCTTATTTTTCTTGTGGTGAGCACTGAAAATAAATGTAGAAGGAAAGAATAAAATTAGGGAGAAAAGTAAGCAAAAATTTGAAAGGGGAACTTTGGCTGTTAGAAATACCAAGGTGTTTCGAAAAGTTGGATTGCTTTTGAATATACTTTCAATACTTCAGTACTTCAAGGAATTTGGGTATTCAAAGAGAAAACAACTTGGACGTGTACACCAGCAAATGCCATCAATTGAGCTTGTGCTAACGGAAAAGACAAAAACGATATCATTGCAGATTAAAGTGAAGAGCAACTGGTTTTCGACTATATGTTTGTATAAATTTAAATTACATTATAGAACATCATATCATCATAAACGGAGAATCCCATGATTTCTTAGTCGAATTATTTGAATTTTCAGGAATTTATCCAGTGATGTATGTGAATGTCACCTAAAGACGTTTTCCCTCTTTATGAAACTAGTCTTTCCTTTCATCTCACGCCTTCAAAATGCTTAGCCTCTAAACACTGATAAAGGCTCTGGTTAAATACTAATGAAATGGATTGAATTGGATTATTAAGTTACTATCTGTTTAAAAAGCTGCTAAAAGGAGGGATGCCTTTGTGAAGAACTTTCTAAGGAGAACCAGCTGGCATACACGTTACAATGAGAAAAACCACGAAAACGCCCATGCAACTAGCTCGTTCGCCGGGATTCGAAACCCGGAGCGAAATACCAGTGTTCAGCGACTTTACCGCTCGGCCGTTTGTGGACCTTTATGAAATGGATGGTGTATTGGTGTATTTAATTATGGCAAAGCACACTAGGGCTATCTGCCTAAGGGAAGGGATGCCTTTCGTGGAGGACTTTCTAAGGGAAACTGGCTCGTATACACGTTACACATGGGGAAAACCACGAAAACGCCCGTTCGCGGGATTCGAACCTCGGACCGAACTACCAGTGTTCAGCGACTTTACCGCTCGGCCACTGGTGGGCTCCTTTATGAAATGGAAGGCAAGAACTTTATTTAAAATGAATGCCAGAAATACCAAGATGTTTCGAAAAATTGAATTCTTTTAAATATACTTGCAGAATGCCTGAAGAAAAAGAGCAAGTCATTAGGAAGAAAAATATACCTTTTTGCATAAAATATAGTATTTTTTTAAAATTTGAAACTTTTTTAATCTTACGATATTTGCGATTTCAAAAATAAAATATTTGACTAAAATAGGAATAACATTTTAAGAATCAAAATGTAGGAAGATAAAATTGTGTAAAGCAGTGGGCACAATGTTAAAGCTATTTAAAACAATATATGAAAGTCATCTTAAGTTAAAATGTCGGTTATACATCTTTCTCATTTATATATCTTTTCTGAACGGAACTTTGAAAAGCGTGTTAACTGTGCTTTACTGTATTTTCTCTTTTAATATATTCAGTTTTCAGATGCAATGTAGTCTGAGACACAAAGTATTCTTCCGAAAGAACCGCATTTCAAATAAATAAAATCAAATCCTGGAAAATTTATAATTATAAATATATTTAAAATGCTCAGTTCGAATGAATAAATAGAAAATTTTAAAACAATTATCTGAAGAGACAATGCGACACAAACAATCAAAATAAAGTATAAAATTTTAAAAATTACCCAAAATAATAACTATGACAAAAAAAAATAAATTATAAAGAAAACTATTTGAAAAAAATAAACGATGCACCTTTTATTTAAACTACGCAGTTCGAATGGGTAACTAGAAATTTTTAAAACTGTTATTCGAAAGAAGCCATGCAACTTAAACAATTAAAATAAAATTCGAAAATGAAAAAAATGACTTAAAATAATAAAAATTATAATTAAAAATATAATATGAAGAACATTATTTGAAAAAAGGGAATGATTGTGACTTTTTTTCCCCGCTCACGGGAAAGGAAAATAGGTTGCCATATATTAAGAAGTTCGCCAAAAAGCGCCAACATAAATTTGTGAATTTTTCCGTAAGTTTCGCACCAAATTTTACAAATCGGATGTGTGAGTTTGGTATAGGAAATCGAACAAAGGAAAAGCCAGTACAAATGCATACAGGTAACCTTTTATGTGATATCGGTATATTTTAAATAAATTAATAACAACAGCGTAACATAAAGACTTTTTTTGTGTTATTCATTTCGAATTAACATGTATTCCAAATTTAGGCAATTTATAATGCGCGAAAAAAGAACAGGCACAGTGTATTTCTTTGCTACATTATTGTTTCTATGCAATATTCAATATAATATCAGCCTTTATGAGAAGCAAAAAATCCTTGTTGATGCTTGCTTTATGATTATTATTCGCAATTATACCTGTAGTAAAATATATTTGTCCTAGAAATTTTTTTTATTATATTTAATTTTGAGGTGGCTTAATAAATCAGCCAGCAAATATAATTCAAGATATTGTTCTTCATTGGGAAGTTTCCTTTATTCACTGTGCTTTAAAAGTAATCAGTGCATTAAGATATTATGTAAAAGTGAATCATTATTTATTTAAAACTAATATTGTTGTTGTTGAAAGCTTAGAATTACTTACCTACTCTGCGTTTTAGTCTGCAGCTTTTCATAGAGTTTTTGTCGATTTCTTTCTGCTTCCTGTTCAGCTTTTGCTTGAATTTCCTGTCGATCTTTTTTGCTAAGTTTACTCAGTTTCTCCTCATTTTTTCGCTGCAAAATAATGTTGAAAATATTTTATATACATGTTCGCACATGAATATAATGTAAAAAGAGTTCGTCTAATGTGCAGACTCGTATGAATGACTTCCTATAAAAATATTAAATGACCTTCGGCCGACTGCTGCTATAAATTACTCTAAAAAACAAATATTTGTGTACAGAAACTTAGACAACTATTTCTCATGTTTTTCTACGTGTAGACGCAGTAAAATTCTCTTTGCATACACGCTACATTGGTCCTTGCAAAGTGCTTCAACGTGGCAATAGAACTTTTACCATCTCTAAAAAAGTACATGATATCACTGTGTTTATCGACAAGGTTAAACATTCTTATTTGGTAATAGACGATGTATCTGAACCTCATATTTTAACGGATGTTGATAAGGCTTCATCACAGCAACCAGGCTGTTTAGTAAACGAACAGTCGCCTGAAAAAATTGCTCCTGAGAAAGCAAATTACCAAACTCGTTCAGGACGCTGTATTCACTTTCCAAAACGATTTGTTCAATAATAATTTTTCCTCGTTTCCAAATTTTTAACGCACATTTTTCTAGAAGGGAGATGGTGTGGGAGTCTTACTCCCTCCCAACATTTCTTCAACGCTGACGTAATGCCTCGATTTCTCCCCCTAGCGCGTGAGTGATAAGAATTCTCTTCGTGACTGCAAGACAAAAGACAGAAAAAGCGAGAAAGTTTTTCCTTCCTTTTCGAAAGTTTTCTCCCTTCATCGCAGAGATTGATGTCATTCTAATTTTATGTATACATTTTGATTTTATTAAAAAGTTTATTCTTTATAAACTGGTGTGTAGTAGTTACCGAGATACCGAAGGCTCCTAGTGATATTCTGAAGTATATTTAAATTTTATAACAGTTATTTTAATTTTAATGTCCCTTTCCTATCAATTCTTGTTTCCACTTAGAACTTTCTACCAGAACGAATTTTTAGAATCGCCTTGGATGCAAATGAGTTAGAAGAAGTATTTAAGGAAGGTTCAACTAACTTCAGTACAGAGAGCTAGTAATCCTGAATAGTGCATGTCCCTCTTGAAGTCTTCGGGCTAAGTCTCTCTTGAAGCTGTTTCGCTCGGTCGTATTATAATGTGCCTTTTGATATTCGCCCGCTATTCTAAATTAAGGGCCAACAACGTTAGATACTTGTGTTTAGCTTCGGCTAAGTGTCCTTTAGTTAGTTATAGTTTAGTTTCTTATTTCTTATTCTGAGTTAGAGCCCGAGTGGAAGCTTTGTTATAAGCCCAAGAAAAGGGCCAACTGTTATTCTTATTGGAGTGAAATAAAAGGTAGTTTAGCCCTTCTTGAGTTATTTGAACTCAGCGATTAGTCGCTAAACAGTTCACCAGGTTCCTCGACGTTCATCTTAGACAAAAAGAGTGAGGAACCCTACAATACCGTGTTTTGTCACCTATAGTCTAGATCAGCGGTTCTGAACATGTGGCTTTTGTCAGGGGTACAAAAGAACACGATTAATAACTACGAAAAATAACAAAGTGTTACACTAAACGCTGATGAGAAACCAAATATTCAGAAAATTAAAATTTTAATTAAAATTAAAAATTAAATTAAATACAAGTAAAAACAAGCGCGAGGGTTTTCAATATAAATGTTACTGAAAGAAATTTATGAAAATAAAACATATAAGAATTAACTCCCAAGGCTGTCAAATTACTGGATTACTTATGTATCAAATGTAGCCATTGCTTTCCTCGCTGTGTCACTGCATATCAGATAAAACCATATTTTCTGGATTAAGCAAATCATCAAGTCAGTTATGTAGATCTGTTCCTTGACAACAGTGATGTTCAAACCAGTATGAGTGCGGTATTAATTTTAAATTTAGATTGTATTCTTTTAAAGTTGTTAAATGCTTATATAAAAAGGGATAAGGGGTTACAAAGTGGAAATTCCCTACGGAATTAAAATTATTATGGATAATAGTTACTGATTTCTATATGGTATTTGCATCAAGCACTTTTCTGAAGACCACCCGTTTCAACCAAGTTTGAAATTTTAGAATAATGAAAGGCTTTAAGGACTTGCATAACTATTCGAGATATTTTTTAAACAAATAAATTTAATTTAAGATTACAGAACAGTTTCATGCCTGTTTTCAAACTATCCGAGAAAATTGATTCCATGATCAAAAAGTGAGAGTTTTGAGAATAATGTTTTGAAATAAAAAGACGGAAATATTGTGGAATTTTTAAAACTCTCTATCGGAAAATGAACTCTTAACTTACAAAATGTCAAAGAGAATATAATAACCAGCTTAAAAAGACTCCAGTGGTCATTCAAACATGATTTTCTTAAACACAATGAAATGCGCAACTGCATTCCAGATCCTTTCGAAGAAGACTTTTAAGCAGCCTGAAAATTACTATTTTCTGAGAAATGTATTGATTATACCTTTTTAAATCTTATTCCTTGCCATTTGTTAATTTTGTGGTACTACAGTGAAAGAGTGCATAGCGATTCGTTCATAGAATTCTCGAATAATGTATCAGCTTACTGTGACTTATTTGTCACATGCCAGTTAAGCTATGAATCTAAGGAAGTACCGGATTTAGAATAAGGCTTAATACTGAATATGCCATTCACAATCTGATCCCCATAATCAAGAACAGCACCTAAGCCAGTTTTTGCACTTTTGTTATTTCAGTTGATATCAGCTGCATATTTGGTTCATTATGGGTGCCTAACATATCCGCAATGTTATAATTAGTATTAATACGGTTACGTTCTGTAGACGCTGTGTATCATCGCGTGCTATTTCAGCGACTGAAACATGCATATTATTCAATCATGAAGTGTCACATCTCCAGGACAAATACATTGGCTTAAATTTATTGGAACATGTTGGTTATTTGCGAAACAGTGCTAGTCTCTACGCCAGTGCAGTAGCATATGCAGATAACTTGGTCATTACCACAGACGATACTGATTTGCAATGCCTAGAAAGAAATGCTAAACGAGCCGAAACCTATTCACCAAGTGAGAGAGCAGAATTTGCCTTGTTCAGTTCAGCTCTTCAATCCTGTTCAGTTCTTCAATCAGGATAGTAGGGCAGTTTAAATACCTGTAAATGTTTAAATACCATAATAGTTTAAATACTATGCAGAGCACATTACAAACTTTTGAGATTCTGAGCCATATGGTATCGTAGTGTGGCAGAAAGGTGTATAGCATATGGGGTTTCTTCTTTCAGAGTAAACTTGAATACTCATATGGCACATTTCCTACTCACAAAACTCTTTCTCCTCAGGATGTGTCTTATATCTCGCGCGACACTAACCCCCACCTTCCAAGTGCTGTAGGGCTTTTCTTAATTACATTTGATAACACAAAGAGATTCTTAAATTCTGTAGTATTCCGACTGAAAGTGTCATCTTATGAAATCAAGTATCTTACGGAATTAAGTACTATGAACAGTGGTCAACTTCATTACCTTGTCACCTCGTTCGTTTTATGCATAACTAATCGTCCTGACACTTCTGAAATTTGGCTCAGAACGCTCCATTTAAAGAGTTAATGAGAGGGGTAGGAGACCAGTCCACGATATCCAGGTGGTGGTCCACCACATTTTAATTCAGGCCCAACAGCAGAGACCATAGGTTTTTCATAGTAGGAGGTACAAAAAATCAACTGTGTCATCGCTAGAACTCCACGCACGAAACTTGCAGTGGTAGGCGGACGTGTTAACCACTCATGTCAAGAAAGCATGCGCGAGGGAATATGCTAACTCTTTTTATTCTTCCTCACTAAAAGGGAGATCCATGGACAGGCACGAGAACCACTCAACTAAATCCAGGCGGTACTAAATTATGGTCCACTAAAGTGCGGACGCTACCGTAGGAACTCTTAGGTTTTTCGCACCCAAAAAACATTATAAACCAATTATGTTTTGGTAGCCCAGTACCCTGTTAATGCTTCTCTCAATGCACACTGCTTTTCGTATTTTGCACTTTGTATTTTTATATTCTCATATTGTATTTTGTACTCTATTAGCATTTCTAATTATGGATTTAATTTAATTACTATGCTTATTTACATAACCAATTCCCAGTACTGTTTCAAATTATCTTTCTGTGCACAAGTACCATGAGCCCACAAATGAAATGTAACCTTATGTAACTCTTGTCCTATTATGCAAAATGGAGCCTTTTAATAGTATCCAACAAAGCTTGGCACTGATATGCCCATAGTATGCCCATAGGGTGCAGTTCTCTAGTTAGTTAGTATATGCGGGCTATACCATTTTTGTCAATGACGATGTCGTGGTGTCCCATACACTTGTTACTGTAACTGTATGTTTTGGTAGAGATGCGAACCATGGATATCCCATTTGCTGGTTGGATGTGCTAATCATTTACACCAAGAGAGCACGTATCAGAGACAACGGTAAATTTTAACATTCTGATGCTTACACTTGCTCCAACTAAATGTACATCGCACATCGTTTTCCGGTGTTTTCTCGAACTATGAGCCAAATGTTTATGCATTTGCTATCTCCATATTAATGCTCCTAGAAAGGGATACAAGTTGGTGGATAAGATTTAGATTCACCTGTCGCAGACTTGAAAGGAATTAAAGGAAGTATATACAATTGGAAAGAAATACCGTCTCCTGGAACGTGTTTTGCAAGTTGAACGTTTTTCGCTGTTAGCTTGTTATTTTCGTGAAGTTTGGTACTTCTTGTATGGTTTTAAGCTATAACCGAGATTATCAGAGTTAGAAAAATGCTGTCCTGTACTCCGAGTGTCTATTGTATTGGGTGTCTCATCCAAAGTACTTTTCATAGTTACTATTAGATTAATATTCATAATTCTATGCAGTGTTCTTCAATGAACTGGGCTGAAAGCTCAAAAAAATGTAGGAGGTAGATATATCTATTAATTGCTTTAAACAGAGTAATAAGATCATATTTGTAGATATCGTATTTTGAATCTACATCGTCAATATCAATGTTCATTATACGCCTAGAATTCAAATTATGTGTTTATATCACATGCACAATTATCAGGACCTGAATTAGTATCTTAGTTGTAGATAAGTTGTGCAATTGTCTGAACATATTGTCACCTGTGCTATGTATTTTTTATCTATACAGTCGCTTTCTATAACTGTGCAGTGCATGTATTACATCTGTTCATCAATATATAACAATGAATTTTGGTTTTCTTATAAACATCCTTTTTTAGATTCAATACTATCTGTATCTTTTCAAATATTGCATTTCTTGTTATTAAACTATAGGTACTGTTGTCGGCACCTGCATCTGCGTTATAACTGTAGATAAGTTGATAAGTTTTGTTTCTCAATATTGTCGACCTTTATTGCATTCAGATAATTGGGTTGACAATCCCATTTTCTTTCCTGAGTAGTAGTTTCACTATATACGTTTCAGCATGGAAGCATTCTGTATTCCTTTGTATTACCACTAGTACTTGTTTTGTTGTTACTGATATCAGCATTATTATTTTCCTCTATGTACTGTGTAATTTGCATATCCATCTTACTTTACTTAATTTAGCACTTGTTCGTTTTACACTTTTGCTGTACACAAATTGTAACTTACTCTAGTACATATAGTAGACTAATATAATTTTTGTACACATATTACAATATTTCTGTACATCTATTGTCCATAATATATTTTCACGCTTGTTTCTTGCCTTAGGATCGTTGTAAATGCTGTGCAATGTCGAAATAATGACATTGTAACCCATTATATATGCATATAAACAAAATGCGTGACTGAGCTGCTATCTGGTTTTTGACCGGGGTTTAGCTGTTGTGTACGTAAGCTGTACGCTGAGATGTTAGTAAGCTGCCTAACTGATACAGTAAAATAAAGGAATGCTCTAAGGTAAAACTGGGATGGAACTCACCTAAATGACGCTAGCGTACTTTGCCGAAATAAATTAATCTAGTGCAATCCATTTATACCACTGCCAGTTGTAAAGCCATGTTTACCAAGAAAACTAGTTTCAAAATAACTCTAGAAATAGTTATCAATTATCATAAAATAAAAGGCAACAATTGAGAACAAGTATTTTTATCACTAAACTGAATTATCAAATTATCAAACTGAATTATTAAATTGAATTATCAAGTAAAGACGTTTCCACGAAAAGATACACACTTAATAAGTTAATAGGTAAATATCATTACCAGATTCTTCAACGCAGTTTCAGATTTGCTGAAAAATTTCAATTTCAATATATTAATATCATTGAATGGAGATTTTAAATAGAACAGGAGTAATACTGAAACAATCATGCAAGTTTTGATTGCTTATCACAAATACCGCTATATAATTCAACACGTTTCTGTTTTCGACAGAAGTAGATAAAAGAACATCTGGGTATATAAGCCTAGGTTTATTCCTAGATAAAAGAATAGCACTCAGTGTTATTTTCCTCTGAGAAAAGAATTTGTTACCTTTCTTCGATCTTCCGCGTTTAATAGCTTCTGTTGAATTTCCTCGTAAGTAAGCTCTTCTTTCTTCTCTTTGTATTTCTTCTGCAACTTTAAAGGCGGAAGCCTACGTAGTGTTGGAGGAAGAGAATTCGTTGACACAAGCTCGAATCTGAAAGAAATAAGTTCAATTACAAGCAGAAAATAAAACAATAAGCGTCTATAAAAAGTTATATGCTTCCTTTGATAAAAGTTTTATTTGTTTATAAATTGGTTAGTGTAAGAAATTCAGAAATAGGATTCGTAACATTTTTCTCTATAAAACCGAAACCAATTACTAATGCATCGGAATTTTTATCTTCCAATTTTTTTTTATTTACCTTATACCCCCACCTGCTTTAGATGGGGGTCTACAAATAAGCCCTTCTTCTCTCAGCATTTCCAAAATGGCAGTCTGCTGTAATGTGTCTCGGTCCTTAGAACTTAACTTCCTTGGGCAAGCTTTTCCTTCAACTATCAGTTCTAAGGAAATAACGAAACCCAAAAATAGTATTTAAGAGAAAGATATTTTTGATACAGGTAGTATGTTATTATTTATATTGACCAGAAAATTGAATTTTAGATTTGAAAAACAATTATTTAAAACTGAAGCATACAGAATACATGTTTAGATGAGGAATCTCCTATGTAGTTTACATCGAACATGACATATTGATGTAGGATATCTAAATTTTACTCTGCTCTCTGCAAAATATTAATAGAAAAGCATATCAGTATAAAATATTAATAAAAATAATTTGAAACATTGCTATAACTTCTTAATTTAAGAGCCTAGAATTGTACAATCCAGGGAAGTGTTTATGAATGTTTTTTTGCTGCACACAAGACTGTAATAAATCTCTGAGGCATATTAAAAGCCCAGTTAAGTCAGACAATACCAGAGGGAGTTCACAAATTTTCTTAGAACTCAATTTAGATTCCCACACAAATATTGCTCGAAGACACAGGATGTTGTTTTTAGAATGATGTTGTGGGTAACTGAGCCAATAAAACAGTTTCTGGAAAGGCATAGGTAATCAGCATAGGTTTCTGGAAAAGCATAGGTAAGTTGTCGAACGAATAATCATAAACAAGAAGACATCTGGGTATCACTGAGGATGTAACTTTAACTTTAGCGCAATGAAGTTTTAAAATCCATATCAGGTGATGGCACCAATAAAAAGGAATATCCTTGGTTTCATTAAGTCTATGATATTATGTTCCATTCGACTGACTATTTTAGATGTCTAGAACAATAAAGCAGAGCGTGTTTTTATTTTGTTGCGTACAGAACCCCGTAATGTAATATAATATGTGAATGCGCTGCAATTCTCCTGCCCGATGGTAATCGGCTTCATGATTAACGCAGCACACCTAACACAGATTAAAATAAAAAATGCTGTTAAAAACGACAAAAATTGACCGGTAAATTTGACTTCAAAATTTGCTATATTTGACGTCATTCTGAATTTGAATTGTGCGGCCGGTTAATAAATAAATTAGAATAATTCGAGAGATTTTTTTTCTTCTTTAAAATGCAGTTTAATAAACTCGTTTTTGACTTACGGGAGTCTTTATTTATTATTTTTCATCTGTATGCCGAAAGAATTTTCACAAAAGTAGTTTGTAAGTTTTCAAAGTCTAAAAAAATCCGTTATTAATAGTCTGTCGAGTTTTATTACTTTAAAATCATAACCTTGTAGTCCGAAAAAGTCATTAAAATGAAAATATTTCTAATTTTTAACTAATGAAAAATTATATATATTATTAGCAGTTGGCTACATGAGAATATTCAACTCTATCAGTGTTTTCAAGAACATGGATTCTATATAAAATTCTGTGAATAAGATCTCCGTTTAGAAAAGTATTACATGGGTTAACATTTTTCAGAATGATCTGTATAGAAATGCTCGTCATGTAATCTCTTAATATCAGAAACTTTTTTTACTTTTAGTTACATATAAATGCAATCATTTTGCTCTTCAATTTGTGTGCGGCCTCTGAATATGATTCTCGAATTTAATATCAAATATCTCGGTAAGTGTTTGTTGTACAGGTGATCAAATCTTCAGTCAAATCAATATTTTTTTGAAACAAGTACAAAATTTACTAAGTATAAAACCCGAAAAAAATGTAAAAGTCAGTTTTATTATTTTATATAAAATTAATTTTTTTTTTTTAAATTTAGAAATATGAAAACATGAATCGTTACGTCCTTTAAAACATTTTTGCAGTTGGAAGGTTCTTCTGCTTCTCCTTCTATGTCATTTTTCTAAAAGTTTCATTTTGATATTAGAAATTAAACTTGTAAGGGATATAAAGGTCGTTCGCTTTGCCTTGGCTATTTCCATTTCGAAATCAAGTTCTAACAAATGTTTCAAATTAATTTAAGTATTTACGTACTCTTGCAACCACCTTAGCAGAAGTTGAAGAATTTCCAGCAGTTGCCAAACTATGGCAACCATGCGCATAACAGTTATTTAGGTAAGCATATCCGTTGTAAGTTGTAATTAGAAAGTTCACTGAATCACCTTTCTTTTCTGTAAAAAATCGCCAAACTGCGCCAAGGTTGAATATGTAAGTACCTTAACTTGTTATCTTCATATAGCTAAGTTTCTTTTCTGGATTTTAAGTACATAAAAGAAGAGAACTCTTGCGATGCAAAATTCATTGTAAGAAATTTTATGTGGAAATATATTTTAATCGCCAAAGAGGGCCTAAATCTTTCATGTTGTGTACTTCTTGTTCTTGGATCTGGCAGCGCCAGTTGAATGTGTGTTAGACTTGAATAAACTTGGCAGTTTGTAATGTTCATTTACCTTGGTGATTTGCATGCTTTTAATTAGTGTTTCTTGAAGCAATATCAATTGAATTCTTGACGGTGAGTAATAATATTTTATATTCATTTCTCAACAACAAACAATAATGTTATGTAATTGCTCATGATCAATAATATTAATTGCTATTGTGCTTAACATTTTGAAAACAATGATGTTAAAAATGTGAAGAACAACTGTTAGAAGAGTGTTCTCTTCTTTGATATGGTAGAATTCAGATAATGTCTCTTTTTCTTCATTGAGTGAGAAAGGAGATAAAATTATTTTTGTGTAAATTAATCGCTACGTTGATGTTGAGAAAATTCTTGTTCTTTTCAAGAAGAAGCACATTAGTTTTTATAGAATAGTAAATTATTTTCTCTGCGCTCCATTATATTTGTTTCATACATTACAGGTCCGTAGACGGTTAGTTACGGTATCCAAAACAATTATGTTAGTTTTCCTTTTGTGTATCGTAACATAATTTTCGGCGCCCGAACAGGGACGTTAAAGAAGTTTTAAATAATTTATAAAACATTTTAATTAACGTGTTATATTGAATTTAGTGTACAAATATGTATGCATTCTTAAGTAATTAATTAGATTACATTTAAGAAATTGATTTAAGGAGTGTTGGAACCCCCAAATCTTCAAAAAATTGTGATTTCGGATTTTTTGCATTTTCAAATTCTCTACACTTTTATCTTTCTGAAAATGCCATTCTTTAATCTCTATGAAAATTAGAACTTTAAAAAATCTAGTTTTAATTTGTCATCGACTGCTTTGATCAATGAGGATTTTTACATATAAACGCGTTTTTCTCCAAACTGGATTTTTTTATACTCGATGTACCTTTTCTGAGGAACTACTGCTCACAGGTATCTAAAATTTTTATGGCTTATTTATTAGGTTTCGTAATATTTACTGAAATGAGATTTTTGTGATAAACTTAGAAATTTTTAAAAAAATTTCTGTGTGAGAAAAAGGGTAAATTCTACTATGCCTAACAAAATATTCTGTAAATTACTCTAAAATTCAAAATGTTTCAAAAATTCATTTCAGTATAATCAGAAAAGTATACTTTAATTACACAAAAAATTTCAAGCGTGTATCTACAGCAGATTTTGAGAAAAGGTACATCGAAAATGGCAAATTTAATATCGTCGGTTCAGGGGTTGCTGATACCCCTTAAGGAAGAGATACTATTGTTCCAAAAGCATTTCAAGAAAAATGAGTGTTGAAGCTTTAGAGACGAAACGTCGAATAACGCGTGACTCTTTTTCTAAAACTGTTAAAGGTTTAAAAGAAGAGATAATTAAAACTGAATCTGATAATGGTATTTTGAGTGATAAATTTGTAAAACTGCAATGTATAATGAAAGAACTGAAGAGCTTGAATTCAGAAATTTTGAATTTGTTAAATTGAGCTTGGTACTTTTGAAGATAATGTGAATGCGGAAGTTGAGGGTAAAGAAGAATACACTGGTGAGTTTATTATTATACAGCGCCTCATCAGTGAAAATATGAATAGTTCTAATACTTGGGTTGATGAGCATATCCAAAATGAAGTAGAAAATAAATTGATTGTTAAGGAAAAACGTTACAGGTTCCCTAAAACAGAAATTACGTCATTCGACAGAGAATTGATAAAAAGGCTTTCCTTTTTGGTTCATTTTAAGAAAATTCATGAAGATAAGGAGCACGAAGAATGCGATAAATTTCATTACCTGTTGCAGTCAATGTTGCCAAATAACAAGAGCTTATAAATTAATTGAGAGCTGCCCGTTAACGTCAGAAAATTATGAGAAAGCTGTTTGTGCTTTAAAAGAAAGATTTGGGAAACCGGACTTATTGACAGAAATTTATGTCAGATAACTGCTGAAATGTCAGAGAATTTCTAACGTTCGCTTCACAGGGAAAAAAATTTCGGTACTTACGTATTATCGCAACCAGGTTGGCGCGATTTGTAAGTTTGAGTAAAAAAGTATGAATAGAAAGAAAATGTACATTTATTAATTATTACAGATAATTTTTAATAGTTTTTTTTTTATATTATTTGTTGTTTAAAATATAAAATAGCAATTAAACCCTTTCCGGTTTCGAATTTGAATAAGTTGCAGAATTACTTTTTTCGGCGGAAATCTTTTGGGCTATTTCCTTTTAGCACTGATTGAAAACCGTCTTCGCCATTAACAGCTTGAGCTTGGCGCCATATAAATTCGAAGGTATGAGTCAAGATGATGACGGGCTGTTCCTCTCTGTTTTTTTGTGGCGCCATTTGGCTGAGCCCTACATGCGCTCTACATGTTGTGTGTGAACGCCCGTGTTGGGATTCACAAAGTTATATTGTGATTAACAGTTCCATGCAGAATCCAGCATTTTCGAACTCACTTGTATTGTATCCTTTCAGCAATCCGAATAAATGATGCTTCCTTCCTTGATATTTTCGCAAATTTTTTCCATGAGTAAACGGCGCTTCTGTTAGGTACAGTAACCAAAAAAAGTCTCTTTCTTTTCTCGGCTAATTCCGCCGAAAACCCATTGCTGTGGTAGTACACGCCCAGTGTTATTTTTTCTTTTTACAAATAAACTTTCTCTATTTCTACACACGTAGGGTTGCCGTAAGTAGGGTCGCCAAATTTGACGATTTATGCGAATTTTGGCCTGG